CGTGGTCTAAGGTTTCTTTCATTTAGTTTCTTTGTTAACTCTGCCCACACATTTTCGACGGGGTTAAAGTCTGCACTACGGGAAGGCCACGGAAGAACATTAACATCAGTTTCTTCTAGCCATTCTCGAACAATTCTACTCGTATGAACCGGGCAATTGTCATGTTGGAAGATAAAGTCGTTGTTGGGGAATCTCTGGATCACCGATGGCAACATTGTGTGCTCAATAATATGTTTGTAATATAATCCTGTTAACTTCTCCTCTACATGATAACAAACGCCCGGGCCTTCGGCACTTATCCATCCCCATACGTTGACAGATAATCCTCCACTATTTCTTAAATGATGCGTATACTGTTCATCATACCTATGATTTCTCGGCCTATAAACTCTTATTCGACCATTATTATACGACTGAAATACTTTTTCATCGGAAAATACAACCCTAGACCAAAAATTCTCATCGCGGTTTATAAATTCATTACAAAATTCAACTCGTCTCCTCTTGTGATCCTCAGTCAAAAAAGGTTTCCGTGCAGCTACACAATTTAGCAGTCCACTTGCTTTAATTCTTCGACGTGCAGTGCGAATACTGCCTGGAAACGCTGCCTCTTCTCTTGCCTTTTGAGCTGTGGCAAAAGGAGATTCTCTCAAATAATCTACTAACATCTCATCCTGTTGATCTGTGGAAATCTTCTGCCCTCCTGAACCGCCCAACCGTGCTATAGAGTGAAAATTATCCCATCTTTGTTTAATCTTCCATATGCACATATGACTCACGTTCAAATCAGCAGCAACTTGCCTTAGTGACCAACCTTCTTCGAGTTTGGCAATTGCTCTTGCTTTTTGCGCATAATTCAAATGTATTCTAACCATTTTGGAAGAGTTTAATATACTTTTATTTTATTGTTGAACACTCGCGAAAGCATTGACGTTTTGAAATTTTTTGACTTTGACATTTATCAAATCCGTACGACACTGCAATTTTACAGTATTACAATATAAAAAGTAAGGTGTAAACTATTCCGTGACCGCAACTGTACTTTATATTTTTGACAAATAATATGGTAACTGCCTTTACATTCTGGGAGTTTACATTTTCTGATTTCGTTTCTACATTCAATGGAAAATGCGCTAGCCTGTCAAACTTTACATCATCAATAGGCCGGTTTTCCTGGTTCTTTTATTCTTTGATGGTACGGATTTAGTTTGATTTGATGGGTGCTCTATTTTTCTAGCTCCTATGCGACATGAAATTAAAGCTTCTGTAATACAGGCCCTAAAATGAACTAAATCTAGTTTCTTTAGGTGACCAGAAAGAGGCCTAAATCTCTTTATTAGACTCATTTTTGGATCTAATAATAACTGTGAAAATGTTTATTACTCAAGTCTTTGAGTCACAATGTCATCAAATAAAGACATATAATTTCAAAAAAATAATTTGACATATTATGGAAATTTTGAAGTGTACTTACTATTTAATTTTATTATTTGCACCTAGAAGCTTCCAATATTTGAAAGGAACACAAGAAGGGTAAAAAAATATAATAATTTTAGTAGCATCAATAGCTTTTATAAACTGTTGTGAATGTAAACAGAGAAACTGTTTTAGTTCAACTAGAATGTAACAAATTGTATTACGGGTCGCAAATCTAATTAAGATTGGATGTTGTGAGATAACTACACTGTTGCTATATCATAACATCCTATAATATTTACTTAAATGAAGTTTAAATTCTTGTCGTCAATTGACAACATAGTGACTGAAAGGGTTAAAATGGACTGATTATGGTCAGACTGGACCAAAAATGTTTTGGAATAATTGTAATCCTTTTGGATGAATTTTAATTATTTTTAATAAAATAATTATACCATCATACACCAGAAGTTTTTACTTCGTTGTAAGGTTTTTTAACCTGGTATGGTATACAGCCAACTACTGGGATTCTCCTCATTTACTTTGTATTTATATTAAGGTACCTGGCAACCCATAAGTGAGACCTTTTGTGTTTAGAAGCATAAGTACTGTAGACTTACCAGTGGGCCACTGGTAAGAACAACTGTACTACTGACACCGAACTGCACAACAGAATACTGCTGATAAACTATTAGGAGTCTACCAGTTATATACTTATCTTATATATCTTAAACATGTTACGAAACAATTTTTATATAAAGTATGAAATAAGTAATCCAGAAATGGAAACATCAAGCAAATAGGACAAAAAGAAGGCCCCATAAACGGTGGATAGACCATGTACAGGAAGATCTTTAAACCATGAACATCGGGCAGTGGCAAAGGAAAGACAGGGCAGAATGGAAGAACATTGTTAACCGGACCAAGACCCACAAAGGGTTGTAGTACCATTAGAAGGTGAAAATGGAACATTACCATTTTTAGGTCTTTAACAGCCAGTTTCACAAAGTAAAGTTACCTTGCGGTTAAGAGATAACCAGCGGTTACCCTGAAATATAGGTTTCACAATATAAGGTCAACAGCTCGGGCTGTGGTTAATCTACAAAATTTTTAACCCAAAGTAAAAGTGGTGGTTTATAGCTTGACCAGGGCCCTGATTCTATTTCATTTCTATGTCAAAATTTAAAAGCGACTACGCCATGACAGTCGCAATCGCTAGCGATTCTCATTCATTTCGATTTTAGTTAAAAGTGGGGACATTTACTTTATCATTTTGACACTGCTCAGAATTTGGGTTGGCCGTCTTGTTTATTGGCTGCACGCTTGTTAAATGTTTATGTTTACATTTTACGATTTTTGTTTCTTGTTTGAGTTGTTAAATTTTTAGTGGCCATTCTCAATGATTATATTTTGAATTGAAAGAAAATGGATGGAGGCTGTTGGTGATGGTGGCACTAAATTGTCTGTGGACCAAAAAGAAATTATGATGGCTTTTGACTTAGTGGTTATATTATATTTTTAAATTTACTGCAGCTTAGTATTGGTATTACTAAAAACAATACATTACCGCTCTAAAAATTCTTGATGAGTTTAAAGATTATTTTATATCTCCAAATAAGAGTGTAGAATTAAAATAAATTATTACAACCAAATTATTTATTATTTCTATCTTCCATTACAGCCTGTTGAATATATTCAAAAATTGTGGTTTCCAATTTAGTTTTAATATTAGGACATTTTATTTCTTTAATTTTTACACCACAGTATATTTTAAAAAATAATCAGTAGCATCTGGCTTGGGGCCCCCAGGTACCGCAGTTCTATTTTTATAGGTGTTAAAATTTCGACCAATTATGTGCCGATACAATTTCTGATAAAACGCAGCCATATTAATACTTTTTGCTTCAGTTTTCGTTGCAACAATCAAACAAAACAACACTGCCTAAACTGAACCTAACCTCGCTTCTCCCAGTCCCGCTAGTCATGTCAGATTAATTTCGACTCGAAATTAAATTTCAACCACTTTCTTGAAGTTGAAATTAATTTCGATAAATCGAAATTTAGTGACGTCCTTTGGTTAGTTCAGCTGAAATCCACTAGGCTCGCAAAGTCGCATTTCGACGTCGCCATATTGATTTCAACATGTTTTCAGTCGAAATCTCAATTAGAATCAGGGCCCAGGATATTCTAACCTAATTTTGGTTTTGTTGACATTCACAGAGTGTAGACAAGACACGTAAATTATTCAATAATCAGATATGGATATATATCATGTAAATACTTTGAGGAAGCGCTCAGACCAAGAATCATTAGGCACAGAACAAATCATTTTGAAGCACTAGACCATGAATATTTTTTCTGTTGGTTTAGATTCTTAAAGAATACAGTTGAAAATATTTTGGAGCAAATTGAAGATACAATTTCTTATTTTTATATTTCATGCATAAGGAAATAATTAATTGTTCGTCTGCTAGCGAAAAGTTTGTTGATCTCTGGAATATTTTTGTGGGTTCCATTTTATAATTTTAATTTTAACTTGGAAGAACAAATAACCACTACGTAGGAACAAACTACCACAGTAGAACAGAACTTGAAAATGAGAATATTATTTGTATATTGTTTTCGATCAATCTAAAGTGACAAATGTGTCATAACTCATCTATACTGGTCAATGTCCATAATATTTACTGACAATATTCTATAAAAATCTGATTATTGCCCATAATTTCCTACCAACATAAGAAAAATAAAATGAAACCTAAGGTTAAGTGACCATAACCAAATCTGTAAATGTGAAACGGCATCTGTTAAATAAACTAGTAAAGGTTACTTAACTCCTAGGGTTAACCACTGATTGTGAAACTGGCCATAAGTAAGTATAAATGAGATAGATATGGTTAAACTATGTTCGTTTTAGTTCTAAAGTAACAAAACAAGAATATCATCAATAGAATAATTATATTTTAAAAATGACTTAATCTGAAAAGCAACACAACAGTTTATTTTAGAGTTTTGAAGTATATTTCTGAGATATGATAAAAATTCATCTTTGAATTTTACTTTTCTTGTCTGATCTGCTAGTTTCGTATTTAATAAAGTCATACCTTAGATTGGATAAATTGCAGTGCATTTGTTTAAAAAAACCATCATGTTTGTTTACAAGCTATTATTCTAAATTCTGTTGTATCCTAGCATTATATTTTAAAGATTGACATTTTAAGCATAATCTTTTAGATAGTCCAATTTTGATAACAAATAATTATAATGGAAAGTAATTAAGAGTAAACAAATGAAACAAAACTTTGTATTAAGAATGCATAAAGCCAGTATTATGGATAAAGTTACAACCATGTCTATGTAATAAAACACAGGAGCTAAACTTTCAATTAAATAAGTTCATACGTAAACAAATGTTTCTTCTGAACACATTTTAATTGTTAACAACCATGTTATTTGTGCTGTCCATCATGAACTGAATATTTAATAATGATGCTTAAAAATCACCTTAAAATTATTTTGGTAGATGTGAAAATAAACAGAACTTTATCAGATTAATATATCTTAAATAATAATAACAAACTCACCTGACACTTGGCTTGGGTGATGGCTGTGGACTAGCTGATGGTTTAGGCAATATATTAAGATGTGGCTTTAACTTGATGATATTCTGAGGCTGTGATGTTTGAATGGGTCTTGCCAGAATGTTATTTTGAATAATCTGCATGACTGGAAAGTTGGGTTGAGGTGTAGGAGGCTTCAAAGAAGGAGAAGGTGATTTGAGACTAGCTGGAGAAGAATAAGGAGATGGCGGATAGCTGGGACTAGGATTGGAATATGCAGGAGACATACTGGTTATGATTTGTGGCTTTTTGACGAGATTCAAATTATTGGATCCTACTACAGTGCAATTGGTGCTTAAGTTCTCATATTCGATCTTTTCTTGTTTGATGGTCTGGTAGGTTGAATTTTTTGGAGATTTACACATTTTTTGTAGAGGTTTGTGAGGAGTCTGAGACATTTTCCCACAACGCGTAATGTAATCGAATCAAAGCACACTCGAATTTAAATACATTCTTCTACAATAAGTCCACTTTGGAATGTTGTCCTAATACTAAATCATACTCATACTTTTTAACACTTTTATAGTTTTTGTCTGGAAACACTTCATTATCACTTATCCAAACTCGAATAAAGCCATTTTATCGTTGTAGATGTAGAAAAGGTACAGTATTAATAACAGCATTATTTCACAAAGGAGCTGAAAGACATTGTGTAGTTTTTAAACACTTAAACGCGAAAAATAACAGCCACTTAACTACAAATAATAAACGAACTATTCACTAGATCCTAGGCATCCGATGCACTTCTTTTATTCCGAGTTTTCTTTATATAAACCTAAAACAAACGAAAATATTACTTAAAATGCAAACATAACCTCTTCGAAAAACAGTCAAAATTACCAGTAAACAAAGATTTTCGTTGAAAAAGTTATCATTATCGTCAAATATAAAGAAATCTTATTAAGCGGGCGATATTTAAGCTTAATTTAGAATTGAAGTTTATTTGTTTATAATTAATTTGCAAATTTGCAACCACAAATAAGATATCACTATACCGCCATCTTTTACGATGCGCCTTTTTCTTCTGCTTCTACATCCCCCAAGAACATCTAAAATGGACCAGTCCGTCTTGTTTCAAGGTTTTTTTATATATAATTAATATGTAATTAAATTAATAGTTTATTAGTAAATTACAGAAAATGCAATTTGGTAAATAACAAATGGATTTTGGCAGGTTCCCCAATGGTTAAGCTTAATCATCATTTCGATAAAAACATTTATCACATTCAAACAAAGTGATAAGTGGGTGGGAACAATAATGAACGTCCAATAGTGGGGACATAATAGGTTAAAAATCAAAAAAATGAATGACATTTGTCAATAAATCATAAACATGACCTATTATTAATAATAAATATCAAATTAATTAATTAGCAATATATTTTCTATTATTTGGGGACAACAATATAATCCCGCATAAAAAAATCAATACTAAAGTAAGGTTACAAAGAAACTCAAGGTAAAAAATCAAGCAATTGATCATGTGAGTCCTACTAATCAAAAAACTAATCGCATCTCCAATTAATATGCCATTTTTAGTTGATTTCTAACAATAAACAACATGGAAGCCAGCCCACACGGTTTTCAACATAAAATGAATAAAATTTCTACGTACCTTTTAACAATTTCACTTGATGGGTAAAAACGGGGTTCACTTTAGTAGGAGCAGGGCAACGGCCGATCTGATTGGTCGTCAGGAAGCGTCATTTGATACACAAAAAAATAACGTTTACTTTAAGGTTAGATTAGCAGATTGGCGATTTTAGATCTTACGTCTCTCGAGATAAGAACGAATGTATAGGTATTTCTTTTTATTCAACTGAAAGGAAATATAACTGCTATTATAATAATGTATGCAATTATAGGTTGCTATTTTTTGGCATATGAGTGATTAAAAACATTGTAACAGTTTGTGATTAACAGATTAATTGAATTATTGCAACCATCAAGAAACAATATAATATTCATAGATGATTGGATGATGAATCGATAAATGCGACCATAAGTCAATATACTTTTTATTGTCATGTTTTTATTCCGGGCATTTTTGATATTTGTAAAATACAAGAGATGGGAATCCTCAAATGTTTGATTTAGAAAAAAATTAAAAATGAATAGAATTTTCTTTTGAATAAAAAAACTGTGAAAGGAAAAGTGGGCGTAGTTGAGTTAAAAGGTGACCGGCGGCGCAGAAAGACTAGGTGGTGGGGAGCCATTGTAGGGGAAGCTGTCGTCTTCATAGGGTTTAATAGGATCTCAATACATGAGTGACGAATGACGTAATAAATGTTGCAGGCACACGCATATCAGCTGTATCCCCTTCTCTCTCACAGCAACGACTTAAAACTTCACTTATCCAGGTATAGGGAGAGGTGAAATGTAAATAATTTGAATAATCGGGATTATAATAGGAATTAATTTTCTGGCATCAAAGGAACAAAAATATAAATAAGCTTTTCTGGACCTCAATACCTACATTGGTCGCAAATAATGAACAAATTGTTTTGTTCTTGAATTCTTAATTACTTTGAAGAATAATTGTTTAATTTTGTTGTTTGCTTGTAAATGAGAAATTATTTGAGGTAGGTATATAGAACCTACAGGTATGAAAAATACTACCCGTTGATTTATATTAAAAGTGAAGATGTAACAAATAATGCACTAAAAGCACAAAGGGATAAAAATAAAATACGCGGTCACAGTTTAATGTTTAAATGTAATACATATATTGTGACACGGTATTATAATTTTGAATTTCAGATTCTGGAATTGATTTAAGTGGATATGCCGGCAAATGCGATAAATATCTTGACAGGTTTTTAATTAACATTTAGCGGTCAATGTGAAGACCTATAGATTAAATTTTTATAGAATTTAATGAGATTTAAGTATTAGTGCATAGTAATCAGTAATAAAGCCATCACTAAATTTTGCGATATTAAAATATCCCTTGGGAATTGCAAAATTCCTGTTTAACTATAAAATACGAATATGAATGGAGTTCATCAAAGTCGAGGCTAAGAAACAAAAATCTGTATCAATAAATAGATACGCAATTCATCATCATCATCACCAATCTGCCCTCATTTGTCGATTGTTGAACGTAGGCCTCCTCTAGATATTTCCATCTATTTCTGTTCTGCGCCTCTGTTATCCAATTGGACACATTTCTTTTGAGGTCGTCGGTCCATCGTTTTGGGTGAGCATTGATCTCTCCATTTTAGGTCACGACCTTTTTAATCTTTCCACTGATGTTTTTTTTGAGAGTTAAGGTTTCTGCTCCATATGTGAGAAGAGGCAGAACGCACTGGTTGAAAGTTTTACTTTTTAAATAGATTGGAACATTTGCAAGAAATTAATTATTTTGTGAATTAATTTACAGAGTCTACAAAAATTCCATTAAAAACTTGACATAAAACAACACTATATAATGTTTATGCCAGTTTATAATGAGTAACAGAAGAATATTCTCTCTGATTCAACTGTTCTTAATACTAGCAAAAGTGTTTATAGTGCCATTATCAACGTGGGCATTTCACAATCAACTGAAATTTGTTTAAAACGCCAGGTCTTAGGCAACCAAAAATGCGTATGTATCTATAGCCTGAAGTCTTTTGGAATGGAATTAAGGAAATGCACATTATGTATATGCGTATATAAGTAGTACATTCTCCTTCTTCTTTTTATATTATTATGTCTTTTATTTTTCTTAAAGCAAAAGTCGTAGAGCCTTGAAAGTTGGCTCTAATCTAATTAAAGTTGGTTTCTAATATTTCTGATGTATTCTGCCACTGGTTTCTTCCAGAATAAATTCAGTCTGGCCTTTTTTGGTAGTATCTACTGCCTTATTGTCCTTTTCTATGCAAAAGTTACTGGTATCGAGAAATGACTACTATTTTTGCGGACACAAATACGCCAGGATAAGTAACCTACTGGGGGAGAAGTGTTTACTGTGTCTTTTATGTACACAGTTCTATTGTTTGAGCAGTTGAATATCTCTCCCTTCCAAAAAGTCTGGATAGGTGTGGCCTTTATGAAACTTATACAACCTCTACACCTACGATCAAATTACGTAACCGGTGCATGAGTAAAATAATTTTATATGTTATTTGCCAAGCGATCACGTAAAAACTTACTGTTTATATATGTCACATTTTTGCACAGTAATCTGTTTGCGTGATTTTATTAAGATTTATGGTGCCTCTAAGATTAATTTAGAAAGAAAATTGAAGAAGAAAATCTCTAGTCAACAAGAAGCTGTGAGGAAAATAGTCGATCAACTACGAGAACTTGCATAAAGCAACATTTAAAATGAAAAAAACCACTTGCGGGATGTCCCCTCACAGAATGCAGGATAGTGTTATTTTATTTTAACTAGAGTTAACTTCCATTTTGTAAAGAACTTTTCTTGGTGGATCTTTCTTTATATTAAAGTATACATCAAATGATGTTTACTACCAAAAGAAATCCACTTGAAGATAACTTCATAATTTGATTCTTGCATGAAAATATGAGAAAATATATATTTATAGAATAAACTTCGTGTTTTTACCTAATTTAAGATATTGATTTTTACCCCAGAAAGTTAACTTCACTTCTCCTTTTGGTATTTTGCTTGGTAATTTCGTTTTTATTCACAAAAATTAAATTGGGTTTTTGGAGAACGCAGTTAACGTTTGGTACTCTGTTTCAACAAACGCTCTACAAAATTTTGCATGTGACATTAACATTTACATTAAATACAATACTCTTAATGCTGGATCTTTCTTTACATTAATGTATACATCAATTGATGTTTACATCCTAAAGAAAGCCACTTGAAGAGAACTTCGTCAGTTGATTTTTACGCGAAAATATGCAGCTTGGCTAATGGTACATTTTATTTGGTAATTACCAAAAAAAGAGTATCGATATCAAAAGTAAACTTCGTGTTTTTTCCTTAAGCTAAGGTATACATCAATTGATTTTTCCCCCAAATAGGAAACTACTCAAAGTAATATTTTCGCTTTTTGGTTTTAATTTAATAAAATAAATCCAAATTTTTTGCACCGGTACCTTAGACGGAACCACCGTAATTCCTGAGCATTGAGGCCTTGCACCGTTAAGGTCGATTCAGACACATCAGTCCCGTCATAGTCTCGGCGCTGAACCGGTCCTGTTTGGTCCATCGAGCAATAAGACAAAAGAGGGAATCTAATCCTTATGAAAAGGAGACCAAAAAAGTGGCCTCTGATGGCGGACATATCCGGAAATGCGAATGCGCGAAATTTAAATTTTCCGACACTTATCAACAGTAGCTAGATAATATTTTTCAGAATGTGTCTTAGACGAGAAAGTTTTAATTAAATATTAATGATAAGAGTCT